GAGTGTGGCCAATATCTAATCTGGAGGGTAGGGCCATTACCCTGATGGTCTCAGAGAACACAGGATTATTTTCAAGCCTTGAGAGCTAATGTAACTTGTTTTGCTGGGTTTTGGACTTCCTTGGTGCCCGTTATCCCTTCTTTTCCTTCAATGTCTGCCATTTGTAATGGAAGTGTCTACCTTGTGCCTGTTCTACCATTATACTTTGGAAACAAACAATTTGTAGTCTAGATTTCACAAGTTCACAGATGAAGAGGAATTGTGCCCCGGGATGGAATACGCCTGAAGTCTCACCCCTATTTGATTTAAATGATTCAGAGGACGAGATTTTGGACTTGGAGTGGATTTAAGACTTCTGGGATGATGTGATACGGTGACTGTGTTTTGCATGTGGCAAGGACATGAATTTTGGGGGCCAAAGGGTAGAATATTATGGGTTGAATTGTGTCCCCCCCAAAAAAAATAAGTGTTGTAAATCCTAATCTCTGTGCCTGTTGTTATAATCCCATTTCGGATTGGGTTGTCTTTATGTTAACGAAACAGGATTAATCTAGGGTATGTCTTCAGTCAATCTCTTTTGAGATATAAAAGAGATTAAACAAGCAAGCAAGCAGAGGAGAGATGGAGTAAAATAGATGCCAAGACACATGGAGATCTCCAAGGAAGCAGGAAGCAGAAGCTGAAGAGACAAAGATCTTCCTTCAGAGCAGACAAGAGAAAGCCTTCCCCTAGAACCGGAGCTCTGAATTCAGACTTCTAGCCTCCTAAACTGTGGGAAAATAAATTTGTTGGTTACAGCCATCCACGTGTGGTATTTCTGTTATAGCAGCTCTAGATAACCAAGACACTCACAAGGGACTGGCACAAAGGGACACAGCCGGGAAGTGGTGGAGCCAGGATGTGAACCCAGGCAGGCTGCCTGAGGGCACCAGGTGTAGACAGTGATAGATGCCTCTCCTGTCATTGACAGCCTGAAGAGCTGTAGCTGCCCTCCCTCCCTCCCCGACAGCAGCTGAATCCAGAGGCATGTCTGGCCTCTCAAAAAATCCACTAGTGCCTCCCCCCACCTCCAATTTTTTGACGAGGATATTTGAAGGTTTTTCCAGATATAAAGTATACGTGAGTGCAGGTTTAAGAAGACTCTGGTTCCCCTTCCAACCAAACTGCCTCTTGCCAAACCATCCTGGGTAGAAGTCTGGAGTTGTTGCTGTCCAGGTGACAGCTTCATGTCGTATCAGATTATGTCCCTCCTCTGCTCCAAATCCTCCCATGACTGCTGTCTCACTCCGTGTAAAAGCCAAGGACTTCTCCATGGCCCACAAGGCCCCACGCCCTGTCCCCATGGCCTCTTGGATCTCATCTCCCACCCCTTTCCTCCTGGTTTATCTCTCTCCATCCTCACTGGCCTCCTCCTTATTCCTTAAATATTCCAAGCAAACTCCTACCTCAGCCCTTTGCATTTATTGTTCTCTCTGCTTAGAATGTTCTTCCCCCAGATAGTCACGTCACTCTCTCCCTTCCTTCAAATCTTTGCTCAAATGTCACCTTCTCAGAAAAGCCTTTACTGTTTAAAACTTCACTATTTAAAACCTCCACCCCCTCTCCCCCAGCCCTCTTCCATACATCACATAATCAACTTACCTTTTGTTCATTGACTCGTACCCCAGCTAGAATATAAACTCCACCAGGACAGGGATTTTGGTCTGTTTTGTTCACTTCTGATGGTCCCAATGTTTAGCACAGTGCTGGGCACACAGTACATGCTTATGAAATACTTGTGAAATGAATAGTGTTTTCATTACCATTTTGCAGGTGCAGTGAGTGAGGCATGGGGATATTAAGTCACCGGCCCAAGGTCACACAGCTAGGGAATTGCTAAGTGCTGGATCCAAGAGTGGAATCACTGTACTAACTGCCTTGCTAAGACCAGTTGAGTGAATAAGATACTTACCTCTCCATCTGGGGTTCATGGTTGTTGAGGTTTGACTGCAGTGTGGGGGGATATGCCTCATCTCTGTGCACCAGCAGTTCTAGAACTCAGTGTGTGGGTCTAAGCAACTCACAAGCTCCCCTCCCCTGCCCCCTCCAAAGCCCTCCTAGGCTCCCACAGCACTGGCTAAAGGCCTTTATTTTGAGGGGCAGGGGCATCACTCAGTCCAACAAGATAAAGAGATAGGGATGAAGTACTTATATGAGCAAAAGTTCGTGATGGCCCATGGGCCACCCCCACAGGTGTGGTGACATCGCAGAGGTGGGGGCAATGCGTGGAGATCGTGACGTGGGTATGGTGCTATGGAAAGTGTGACAACACCATCTGGAGATGGGGAGAGCGACAGTGAGGAGGGGGGAGCGTCCAGGCTCCTGTGCAGTGGATGAAGGTGATTGGATGGGGGTGGGCGAGGGTGACATGGTAAGCAATACAAAAACGCCACGTCAAACCGAGCATAGCGCACGAATAAACCCGCAGAGCCCTCACACTCGTCCCTGATGTAGATGTCCTTGTGTGCATTTTACAGATGAGGAAGTGGAGACTGCACAGGTGCGATAAGGTAGCCAGCCAAGGTTACACAGAGGTTCAATGGTGGAGGTGGGATTCCAGTGCACCCCAGTTAATGGGCCCTGGTGCCCCGTATGGGGGCGAGTACGTGAGCAGTGACTCGGGGAAATGACAGTGGCATGGAGGGGAGAAAACCAGCTGTGAGGCTGGGTGGCTCCTTACGGAAGCATGAGCCATGGACGGAGACTGTCAGGAGCGATGGTGACATGGGAGGGAGGGAGGCATCGGAGGTGAAGCTGGCGTAAGTAAGGGAAGCGTGAGTGATTTAAGGAGAGAGATGGTGACATGAGGCGCGCGAAGGCGACATGGGGATATGATAACAAGACAAACGAAGATTTCATAAAGAAGAAATGGCAACTAAAGAGGACAACACGAGAAGACGAGCGACTTAATGGGGGGTGACTGCGACATACGGTGGCAATGAGGACTTAAGGGGAACGAAAGCGAGTTAAGGAGCTCCATGGAGACAGAAGCGGAGTGGTGACGATTTAAGTAGAATGAGACCTAGGGAAGGAATTGCGACATAAACAGATCGAGGACGACATAAGGGGAGGGATGCATTATGGGGGGGAACAACACAAGGAGGGCGGCCGAAGCGCTGCGCCCGCATATCGCACAGTACCTGCATTCCACGTCTCCCACTCCCGGACCCAGCCCCGCACGCACCTTGTAGGCTCAAGCCCCGCCCGACTTCCCCTCCCCGCCCCCACCCGCGCGCAGGCGCACTCCAGCTGGACTGCGGGCCGGCGGGGGCCAGGTAGTTCGTTTTCTCATTGGCTGTGCAATTCGCTAGCGGGAGGGACGGGGGCGGGGCGGGGGCGGGGAGGGTCGCTCACGTGACGGCTGCCGCAGCGTTCTCTTGGTGGCGGCCTGAGGGGCTAGAGCGGCCGCGGGCGTGTCAGCCTGGCTTCCGGCGGCGTCGGCGGTGCTTCCGGGGCGGGCAGCCGGGGCCGAGGGAGGAGGGTCTGACAGTTGGCGCCGCCGGGCGGTAGGGCGGGCTGCGCGTGTGGGCGCGGGCCCGGTGGGCCAGGTGAGGCGCGGGCCGGGGGCGGTGGGACTGGCCTGGGTGCGGTGGGGATGGGGGTGTGTGTACGGGGCTCCGGAGTCTCAGTCCTGGCTCCTCTCTGTGGCTCCGGGCAAGCGACTTCTTTCTCTGAGCATCAGTTTCCTCTATATAATGGGGGTCAGAATCCGGCTATAGCACCCCCTTCCCCTCCCCCGCCCCATGGGTTGATGTAAGGAGTCGAGCTCGTGCATGTCGGAGTCCCTAACTCAGCGCCTGGCACGTAATGCTCACTTTGTTACTATTATTGTTAGTATTGAGGATGATGTTCGCGCTTGTGAAACCGTGGGCCTGTGACCTCACCTCCCGGAACCTCAGTTTCCTCATCTGTACAGTGAGGGCTAATAGTCCCAATATCATTGAATCGTTGTGAGAATTTTGATGTAATGTGCATAGTAAAGGCCTTAGCACAGGGCCTGGCACAGTAGGAGCTCCATGGGGACGGTTATAATAATGATTCTGAGAGTCATTAGTGTAGCTGGGGTCCCAAGGAAGTAGAGGGAAGGAGAGAGGAAGCTTGGAGACAGCAGTAGGAAGAACTTGGAATCTGGAGTTGGGCAGTCCAGCAAATGGAGGTCCTGCCGCTTACCATTTGGCCAGTTTTGCCGTATTTTGTAGTATTAAGAGTTTTCCTTAAAACGATTGATGTGTGTTCCTTCAGTCAATTAATTAGAAAAGGAAAATTGGCGTTGCTATTCTGGATGGAAAACTTAGCATTCCTGGCTGTGAGACAAAGAAGAACTTAACCTGAAATACAATGAAATCAGAACAGTGTTGAAATTGTTGGACAGAAATTGAAAGAATTGAAAAGGAAATAACTTGTACTATGTGATTTCCGTGTTGTCAAATCCCATGGACCACGTCAGTTATCTTTCACTTGGTTCCCAACTCACACTTTGTACACAACTCACATTAAACTAGTGACTGTCTCACCGAGTCTGTTTCCTCTTTCCTTAGCTTCCAGACGACTTATTTATTGAACGCACACTTACATAGCACTTACCGTCTGCTGAGCATTATTCTAAGGGCATTGTGTTTGTGCACTCATGGCTCAGGGCAGCTAACAACAACAATGTCATTCTTATTTTACAGTGGAGGGATACGAAGTCCAGAAAGGTTAAGCCACTTGCCCAGAGTCACAGTTAAACCAAAAACCACACCTGTTGCCGTCGAGTCAATTCCAACTCATGGAGACCCCAGGTGTTAACAGAGCAGAACTGCTCCATGGGGTTTTCTTGGCTGTAAACTTTTACAGAAGCAGATCACCAGGCCTTTCTTCCACGGTGCCACTGGGTTCGTTTGACCCACCAAACTTTAGGTTAGTAGATGAGCGCCAACCCTTTGCACGGCCACCCAGGGGCACTGAGTAACAGTTGGGAAGTGGCGTACTCGGGATTTGGCTCCAAGCTTTCTAAGGGCACAGGACCGGGAGTCTGGTACACATGGTTGTTACTTGATTTGGGGGAGCTGTCACTTTTCTATTGTTATGATTTTCATTATTCAGAAAGTCAGCGCCGGAGATGGGTTTTTAAGATGGCGGAGAGAGGAAATCGAGCCCAGCAGGGAATTCTGCAGCGCTAGGGGGGAGGATACGAGTACTTCCAGGATTCTGGTAAGCATTAACGGAGACCTCGCAAAGGCAGACCACAGCGCCTAGCTCATAGTAATACCTCCGTCAGCACTAACCGCTGATGTGGGCTCAGGTCCTGGCCCTGCAGTCACTTGCTGTGTGACCTTGGACTTGCCACTCTTATCTGTAACATGGGAGTTTTCTTCTTCTTCCCCAGCGTGGGTGTGAGGAGTTGCTGAGATACAGATACACGTGGTGCCTGTCGTGTAGTAAACATTTGACAGGAGCTGCTGCACGGGCATTGGAGTCGGAGAGCTTGTTTTTGAATCCCAGTAAAGCCGCTTGCTAGTGGCCTTTGGCACGTGACCTGGCCTCACTGAGTCTCAGTTTTTTCATCAGTTAAAGTGGGGCTAATGATAGTCCTCACTCGAGGATGTCGTGAGATGTCAGCGTGATACTTGGCTCGGGCCCTGGTGCGCGGTTAGTGCTGGGTACATGAGAAGTTGCTCTGTGTGACTTACTGAGGCCTCGCCATGCCCTGCTCTTTGAAAGATGTCTGTTGCGTTGTCTCTGTCCTGCGGTAAATTCCAGAAGGGAAAATGAACCCAAGGAAGTCCAGTACAGGGCAGAGTGCTGTTTGTGGTCATGTTCAACAATCAGAGATGGAGCAGAAGCCAGAGGAGGGCAGAATGAACTCTGCTCGGGCGTAGAGGAGAGAGTCTCAAATGTGAAGGGCTTAGGGAAAGCCTCACAAAGCAGGTGACAGCTAAGGAGGGTGAAGGGGAGCCTGGCAGAAGGGCAGGAGGGGGTAAGCGTTCCAAGCACAGGTGATATCCTGTGTAAATAGCAGGAAGCAGACAAAGCATGTGGGAAGCAGACAAAGCACGTGGGTGTCGGGAAGCTGGCTGGGGTTGGGGCAGGGGGATTAGACCAGGCAGTAACATAATAATAGCCAACACTTCTAGAATACTTAGTGTGCAGCAGGCACTGTCCCAAATGTTTTACACACAGTAGTCCTCTAAGGTAAGTGGTGTTTGTAACATCCCAATTTACAGATGAGAACACTGAGGCCTAACTGGTGAAATAACTTGCCGAGACCATCCAGCTAGTAAGTGGCCGGGCGGGATTTGAGCCCTGGCAGTCTAGCTCCAAGAGTCCTTACTTGTAACCACTCTGTTATACCATCAAAAAGGGGCTGGGGTGGGGCAGATTGTGTGACAGTAAAGAGACAGTGCTGGGACAGAACACCTCCTGCACCCTGCCGAGCAGCTGGTGGAGTGGTGAGGGAGAAGGATCAGGATGGGGGCCGGGCTGGGTAGAAGGGAGCAGAGTGAAGGGTGAGGACGCAGGTGGTGGAGGAGAGGGTCTGGGGCAGGGAGGAGGAGGAAGGCTGAGTGGGAAGGAAGCTCGGGCCAGGGCAGCGCGGGTAAGTGGTCCTGGAGTCAAATAACATTGACTCACCACGTGAGAGTTACTTCCTTTCGTTCCCTTTCATCACTACCGTTAATGTCCAGGGAAAAGTCTTTGTCGGTGCCACTGTGTCTCCAACACCTTTCTAGCATCTGCTAATTTTATCTACGTGAACACTGGTTTTCCATTTCTCCTCTAGGCCCCTCATGACGTGGCCCTCCTCCCTGACCTGGTCTCCTCCCGTTCCCCTTGCTTATCCCACCGCAGCCCCGCAGCCTCCTTGCTGTGCCTCAGATGTGCCCGATATGCTCCCGTGTCAGGGCATTGGACTTGCTCTACCTTTTCTTGGGGGCACTCTTCCTTCGTCAAACTGCATGGCTCCTGTTTGACCTCCTTCGGGTCTCTAAAGGTCATGTTAGAGAGGTCTTCCCTGATCACCCCATTTAAAATTGCAGCCCTCACTTCCCAGGCCCTCCTCAGTCCCCTGAGCCTGCTTTGTTTTCTCTGTGACACCCCAAGGACTTCTAAGACACTGTCACTCATTGATCTGGTTTACTCTCTCTGCCCACTGCACTGTCCCCAGCTGGATGTTTTTGTGCATTTCCATATCTGTCTCTGCGTTTTTGTTGAGTGCAGCATCCCCAGCTTCTCGAACAGTGCCTGACGCCTCGTCGGTTCCCAGCACAGAGTTCTTGAATGAATGAATGAAGGGCTGATTATGGCCGAAGTCTCGGGCCGGGGTGTCTTTTCTTCTGTTGCTCTCCTATTGTGGCCAGACCTTTCAGGGAGTGTGGTAATGGAGCTGTGGACATTTGCTATCCCTGGGCCTTGTCCCAGGGCAGAAGTGATAGCAATGGTGGCAGCTCTGCCCCAGGCTGACTTCCTGTCAGCTGCTCCAGGCTATTCCTGGGCTGTGAGCCCCCAGCCCGGGAATGCGCCCCTGGCAGGCAGACAGGCAGATTGGCAGCGGGGTGCTCTGAGAGCCGAGCCGGCGGCCACTCATGGGCTCTCTCCCCTCCTTCTCTATTTCAGGCTCCAAGGAGCAGCATCAGGGCCAGGGAGACGATGGTCTCCGTGACTATGGGTGAGTCTGTGGCCTCCCCTCCAGAGCCCCCCTCCCCACTGCCCTTTTTGAGGTATGGCCTTGGTTGGGGAGACAGGCTGGGGGAGGAGGGCCGGGTGACTGGCAGGAGCAGCTGTGCTCTGAGGAACGTGGGGGTGGGGCTGGGCTGCTCACAGCCTGCCCACCCCCTCTGTATCTGGCCCCCTGACAGCGGGTGCAGACCTCAGCTTGTGAAGCCTGGCAGGTCTTCCACATGGCCCCTCAGAGCCTCGGTTTTCTCACCTGTGAAATGGAGGTAGTAACACTCCCTACATCATGGGACGTTGTGAGGGTTACGTGTTACTGCGTGCAGAATCCGGGGTGCGGTCTTCAATAAACCTTTACTGTTAGCATTGTTAGCCAAGGCAGGCAGATTAACTGGTAGCTGTTAAAATTTTCGAGATTTATTGTGGAGCCCCTGGCGCAGTGGTTAAGCATTTGGCTGCTAACCAAAAGGTCGGCCGTTCGAATCCACCAGCCATTCTTCAGAAACCCTATGGGGCAGTTCTAGTCTGTCCTGTAGAGTTGCTATGAGTCAGAATCGACTTGACGGCAACGAGTTTTTTTTTTTTAATCACCACGTTCTCTTTCAGCGCTGTGTTTTGAGATTGCCAAGGCAGGGAGATTAGTTGGTGGCTTTGGAAAATTTTGAGAATTATTCTTCAGGTAGGAAAGTACATAAAATGTATTTGTGTGGTTTTAAGAATCCAAAGCAAACATCTGAGTACATCCTTTACGATTCCATTTATATAAAGCAAGAAACGTGCTGTTAGAAGCTGGTGGTTGCCCTTGTGGGGCGGGGCTAGTGACTAAAAGGGGATACGAGAGGAGCGTCTGGGGTGTTGGGAATGTTTTATTTCTTGATTTGGGTGCTGGTTATCTTGGCTTACAACAGTATATCGATTAATGTACACTTGTTTGCATGTACCCCGGTGGCGCAGACTGTTAAGCTCTCAGCTGCTAACCAAAAGGTTGGTGGTTTGAATCTACCCAGCAGCTCCGCAGGAGAAAGACCTGGCGATCTGTTTTCGTGAAGATTACAGCCAAGGAAACCCTATGGGGCAGTTCTCCTCTGAAACACATGGGGTGGCTATGGGTCGAAATCAGTTCGACGGCACCTAACTGCAACACCGCAACAGGATTGTAAAAAAGCAACCCCCCTCTAACCATCCAGGTCAAGAAATAGAATATTGTCAGCCCCCCCTGGGTGTCCCATCCCATACACAACCCCCCTTCCTCCTCCAGATAGGATAAACCACTCTCTTATGTTTTGTGATCATCTTTCCTTACCTTTCTTTGTGATTCTGCCGCTTATGGAAGCATTCCCATTCACTGAGACTCTGGTTTTGAGCTTCAGGAATGAAATCAGGCCATGTGTCCTTGGTGTCTGGCTTCTTCGGCTCGGCCCAAGGCCGGCGAGAGTTGTCTGTGTCTGTGTGTGACACCAGAGCCCTGTGTTGTTCCCTGCTGTGTGGTGTTTCGCTGTGGGCGTGACCCCCATTTCTTTATCGGTGCTACTGCCGATGGAGGTGCATTGGTTCCAGGTGTGTCCACCAGAGACGCACTGCCACGTGTACAGCAGGCTAGGCAGCGCCATGCCTCGCCGCTCCCGAGAAGTACGCCATTGCATGTTTCACATCTGGGACATGGGGCGTATCCTACAGCCGATGGCTTATTTAATGGGCAGCATTTCTTCTTTCCTAGCAGTACATAAAATGGTGGTGTGCGCCAATGTGGGGACTTTTCACTTCCTTGGACACCAGAAAACAAAACCAAACCAAACCCGTTGCCATCGAGTCAATTCTGACTCATAGCGACCCTCTAGGACGGAGTAGAACTGTCCCATAGGGTTTCCAAGGGGAGGCTGGTGGATTCAAACTGCTGACCTTTGGGTTAGCAGCCGAGTTCTTAACTGCTGCGCCACGAGGGCTCCACCTTGGACACTAGGTTCTGATGATCTGTGGTGAAGATCATAGGCTTTCCCTTAAGCCAATAACTACCCCTAATTTCTGTGGTGCTTTTTTTTTTTGTTTTTAATTCTTTAATTACAGCTTCATTGAGATATAATTCACATACCGTATAACTCACCTATTTAAAGTATATAATTCCACATTCAGTAATTTCTATTATATTCACAATTGTGCAGCCCTCACCACAATCAATTTAGAACATTTGTATCGCTCTCCCCGCAAAAATGCCCATACCCATTAGCAACCATTCCTCTTTCCCCCTCTCACATGGCTTCTCCCAGCCCCCGGCACCACTAACCTACTTTTTGTCTCTAAGATTTGCTGGTTCTGGACATTTCATATAAACGGAGTCATTCTTTGGTGCTTTCTGATACGTAGACAAAGGTGCCCATTTTTGGCAAATGGAACCTGGGGCCCCATGGATGGTGCTTGTGCAAGCTAGATCAAGACACCCCTTTCCTCTGGGGCTGGCAGAGGAATTCTGGAGGGAGTGAGCACCTCACCTGTCCCAGTCCCTGAAGGCTTGGGTGGGCCAATGCCCTGGGAGTGGGGCCTGTCGCCGATGGGCAGGGGTCTTTTGGGAGAAGTGTGGCCCATGGGCAGGAGCCACGGGCTAGGCATCGGTAACCTTCCCCTGTGCCTGCACTGCCAGCCCACCAGTGTCTGACCCAGGGCAAGTCTGTTTCCCCACTCTGAGCCTCAGTTGTCTCACCAGCAAAATGGGTGTAATGATACCAAATTTTATCAAAAATATCATGGATTCTTAGGTGTCCTGTTACGCACTGTAAGAAAGGAGAGGAAAAAGATCGCCCATTAAGCTGTGCACACCATTGCTTGTGAGGTCGATTCCGGTTTCAGGGGTGTTAAAATGGGAAAAAGACAGATGTTCAGCTTGGAATCAGTAAGCCACAGAGGGTCCGCTTGGGGGCCCCACCCGAGAGGCCAAAAGAGAGGTTTGGAGACAATGAAGCTTCATGGCAGGGGCCTGCAGGATCCCGGCCTTGGCTCCGTGTGTAGCCACAGCAGCAGCAGTAGTAACAGTGACAACAACAATCACGACACTGGTAATAGTAGCTGGCCTGGGGTGTGGGTAGCCTCGGGGCCAGGCACCACTCCAGGCCCCTTCTGTGGATTCTCTCATTGAATCTGCTCAGTGACCCGAGGATGTTGGGGCTGTTATCACTAGAATGTCAGCTCCATGAGGACAGGGACTCTGTCTTGTAGCCCGTAGTATCCGCAGTGCCTAGAAAAGGAGCTGGCATGTACTATACCCAATTTACAGATAAGGAAACTGAGGTACAGAGAGCAGTTAACCACTTGCCCAGAGTCACTCAGCCATGAAATAGCAGAGTCAGGATTCAAACCCAAGCCCCAAAGCCTATGCCGCGGCTGCTCTCTAGGGCAGCGCTGCTCCTCTGGCAAGGAGTGGGCTCGCTGAGGCTCATGGGCCAGCTCTTGGGATCCCTTCTTCCATCCACCTGTGGATCTTATCCTCTGGGCCTGGGCAGGCTGATGGGGACCGTGGCAGGGAACCCAGAGGCCCAGCTCCCTCGAATCAGCCATTGCTTAAGCGTGTGTGACAGTCGCTGTGGGTTAGGGGTCGGGGCTCCAGCCAGGCGGGGCGGACAGGGAGGGAGAAGGGCGGGAGGTCAGCACGCCAGCCTGGGAGCTCTGCCTCTTGTTAGGGATGTGTCCTGGGGTAAGCAGTTCTGCCTCTCCTGCCTCAGTTTCCTCATTGGCAAAGTGGGAAGAGGAGTTGTCTTGATACTGCTTAGCTCACAGGGTTGTAAGGAAGCCTCAGTCCCCATGTGCTGTGTAAAGCACTTGGCAGAGCTCGGCATGGCACAGGCATTTAATTTGTGGGAATGACTGATGTTGTGGTTTCGCTGTACACCAGAGAATAACATGAATAATGAGCTCTGTCCAATCCCCAGCCACATCTGAGTGGATCCAGTTCTTTAAGGAAGCCGGCATTCCTCCGGGGCCTGCTGTCAATTACGCTGTAATGTTTGTGGATAATAGGTGAGGCGGTGGAGGGGACAGGGCTGAACTTGGGGACAAGAGGTGGGAGTGGGGAGGCGGGAGTGGGCTGACCCAGTCCACACAAGCCCACTGGGGCCTCACCACTGGCCTTCCCCCTGCAGGATCCAGAAGAGCATGTTGCTGGATCTCAACAAGGAGATCATGAATGAGCTGGGTGTGACCGTGGTGGGTGACATCATCGCCATCCTCAAGCACGCCAAGGTGGTACACCGACAGGTGAGTGCTGCTGCCTGGTTCCTCTGTCCCTGGGGTTCAGGATAGGGATCGGGGACAGTGACAGAGCCAGCAGCAGGAGTCTTAGCAGTAAAGGCAGGCCGACCTGGGTTCCGGGGCTGGTTCTACCACTTGCTGTGTGACACTGGGGAAGTTGCCTGACCTCTCTGAGCCTTACTTTCTCCATCCGTAAAATGTGGTGGGTCTGAGTATGAAATAGAAGTAAGGTATATAAAGTCCTAGCACAGCATAAACCGCCCTCAGTAGGGCCTCAGTAAAGGCTGTCCGTAATTACTGTTATTATTACCAGTTCTCGTCTTCCTCACTGTAGTTATCCTCACCAGGACCCTCCTCTGTGCTCGGGCCAGGAGCTCTGTATGTGTGATCCAGCCGGTGACTTGGCCAATGACATGGCCCTTCCAGTCCCGGCTCCTCACAGTGACCTTAGATCAGTGGTTTCCCCTTGCTTAGTGTCTATGAAGCGAGCTTTCCACCCAGGCTGCCTCACAGGGTGACCATGGCCACCCACTGCACCTGCCAGGCCGGGGTGACATGCCTGTGAAGCTGTAATGGCTGACACTTAGCAAGCGAGTGCTCGCTGCTGCCTGTCCGGCACCGTCGCCACCCTTTACACATAAAAAACCAAACCAAACCTGTTGCCATCGAGTCGATTCCAGCTGCTAGTGACCCTGTAGGACAGAGCAGAACTGCCTCGTAGGGTTTCCAGGGAGTGGCTGGTGGATTCCAACTGCTGACCTTTGGTTAGCAGCCAAGCTCTTAACCACTGCACCACCAGGGCTCTCATTTAATCCCCGCTCTCCTACCGGGAAGGAAGCTTACTCCAGAGCTGTACTCTCAAGTGGTGTACTATTCCAGATAGCAGCTGCTGTGGTTATTCTTGGAGCTCTGGTGGCACAGGGGTTAAGAGCTTGGCTGCAAACCAAAAGGTCGGCAGTTGGAATCCACCAGCCGCTCCTTGGAAGCCCCATGGGGCAGTCCTGCTCTGTCCTATAGGGTCCCTGTGAGCCGGAATCAACTTGACAGCAGTGGGGTTTTTGGTGGTTATTCTTGTCATTGTTAGCATCTCCTCCCACCCCAGGAACAGGCCTCCTTCCTACCTAGTACGGGGCCCCACGGTGAGGGCCTTCTCAAGCCAGGGACAGTGTCTCAGTTGTCACGGAGAAGGTCACCAAACAAAATGTTTTCTTTTCTTTCAACTTTTAAAGTTTGGAATCATTTTAGATTTCTAGAAAAGCCCCAAAAATAGTGCAGAGAGCTTCCATATCCTCTTCACCCAGCTTTCCCTAACGTTGTAGCATCTTACGTAACGGTGATACATTTGTCCAAACTAAGAAATTGACAGTCGTACAATACTGTTAAGCCAGGCTACAGACTTTGTTTGGATTTTTTCAGTTTCTTTCCACGAATGACCTTTTTTTGTCCCAGGGTCCAATCCCGGATCCCACATTGCGTTTATTCATCGTGTCTCCTTAGTGTCTTTTTCATTTCTCACAGTTGTTTTTTTATGACTTTGACAGTTTGGAAGAAGACTGGCCAGGTAGTTTATAGAACGTCCCTCGATTTGGGTTTGTCTGATGCTTTTTTACAGCTAGGAGCAAAATATTTTGCAATCTCCTTCTCCAGCAGCTCAGGCTCTGACATTCTTTCCCCTGCCCCGCCCCACGTTGCTCATATATCTGGGTCCCTGGTTCTCCCACCTCATGCCCCTCCCTCATGGTAACCCAGGTGCCTGTTTTCCACAGGACATGTGCAAAGCTGCCACTGAGTCGGTGCCCTGCAGTCCTAGCCCCCTCCCCGTGGAGATTCGCCGTGGCCCCTCCAGCGGTGAGTCTCATCTGCCAGGCCTGCTTTCCTTCATTCTCCCACTCATTCTTCCACTGTGGCGGTGAAGGGACACCCCTGCTGGTCCCTGCCCTCCCGTAGTTTGCAGAGGTGGAAGCAAAGCCGTCCAAGGCCCTCTTCTGGAAAACATAACCTGGGTAGTGAGTGGCTGTACAGGTAGTCCCCGACTTATGGTGGGGTTCCCTCCTCTTTGTCGATATAATGCCAATCGCTCGTCTAACTGCCTCCAAAATCCTATTCTTACCCTTAATGATCGTTGAAACGGTCAAATGAGACAGTCCTTCCTCACGTACTATTTCGCTGACTTTCTATTATCATAGGCCTTAGTGATCTTCATCTTTATGTCTGTGTCTAGAGCCTTCCTCGGCTTCCTTTTTGGATTAGCACTTTCAGTGACGTGACTTCATTTGCTGGATATATTGCAGGGGGGTGTAAGCCGTGTAGGTGTTATAGTCAGAGAAACTTGAAAACTCGGCTTCCAGTGAGCAACAGATGCTTCTGACGGTTTGACACACTGAATAAGATCTCCCTGTAGGCCTGGTCTACGATGAGGTTGGTGTCAGGGTTGTAACAGTGAAGTTGGAGTCGTAACAGCGATTGGGTGTGTGGGCAGTTCGTTTGCCATATGTTGTTAGAGTTGAACGTTGCCCAACTTTCTATCCTTTACAACTCCCGACACCGACTTCATTGTAGACCAGGCCATAGCCTGCTATACCGCAGGGTTTTGTTCTGTTTGTTTATTGTTGTAGTTTAAGTGAAAGTTTACATTTCTAGTTAGTCTCTCATACAAAAGTTTATACACACATTGTTATGTGACCCTAATTGCTCTTCCCACACTGTGACAGCACACTCCTCCTTTCCACCCCGGATTCCCCATGTCCATTCAACCAGCTCCTGACCCTCTCTGCCTTCCCATCTCACCTCCGGACAGAAACTGCCCATTTAGTCTTGTTATAAGGCAGTGTTTTGAACAGTAAATCGTAACATTGAACATCTGCAACGTGACGTTTGAGAATGATAACATCGGCAAATTACATGGTGCAACATTGTGTGTAGTACATAATACTAACAATAAGATGTACCAAAAAAACAAACAAAAAACGGACAGTCCTAAGTGTGGTTACTCGAATACATTGTAAGTTGGGGACTACCTGGGTTTATGTTTATACTTTTGTTTTTATTAATAGTATGATATCTTATGGAGTCCTGGGGTAGCACAAATGGTTTAGCACTCAGCTGCTAACTGAAAGGTTGATGGTTCAAGTCCACCCAGAGGTGCCTCAGAAGAAAGACCTGGTGATTTACTTCCCGCCCAAAAAAAATCAGCCATTGAAAACCCTCTGGCAGACAGTTCTACTCCGACACACACGGGCTCGCCGTGAGTCGGAATCAACTTGACAGCAACTGGTTTGGATGAGACCTTATTTTTTTAAATAAACTTTCAAGATTTAACATGCGTATTAGTTAACCTTTGCTGCCTGACAGTTACCGTTGAGTTGATTCTGACTCATGGCGAGCCCATGTGTGTCAGAGTAGAACTGTGCTCCAGAGGGTTTTCGGTGGCTGATATCTTGGAATTAGATTGCCAGGCCTTTCTTCCCAGACCACTCTGAGTGAACTCAAACTACCAACCTTTTGGTTAGCAGCCAAGCACATTAACTTTGCACCACCCAGGGACCCCTGCTGCTTAACAAGCCACACCAAAACCATGGCTTAAAGCACGGACATTTATTTCTCATGATTTTGTGGGTGGCTGTTCAGTTCTGCTCTGGGCCAGCTCAGCTGATCGCTGTGGTCAGCTGGCGGCTCAGCCGAGGCTGGGCAATCTGGGTGGCCTCACTCACAGGTCTGGTGGTTGACTCGGTGTCCTATGGGTCTCCCATGCTCCAGCAGGCTTGCCCGGGCTCGTTCACACAGTGGTGGTTTCAGGGTTCTCAAGCAGCCCAAGAGGGCGGGCCCCAAAGTGCAAAACACTTTCTAAGCCTCTGCTTGCCTAAGCTTTGCTGTTATCCCGTTGGCCAAAGCAAGTCACATGGCTGCGCCTGGAGGCAGTGTGGGCGGGGCCTACCCAAGGGCCTGGATGCAAGGAGGCTCAGCAAATTGGGGTTCATTTCTGCCACCGTCTCCCACAACATACATACAGAAAAGGGTTCAGATCGTAACAGTACTGCTCAATGACTGTTCACAAATGGAGCACCCGTGAAACCAGCATCCAAATCCAGAAATGTGACCAGCTCCCAGAAGCCCCCCTGTACACCTCTCAGTCACTCTTCCCTTGCAGGGGCACCCACAATCCTGATTTCTAACAGCACAGATTGGTTCTGCCAGTCTTTCAACTCAACATAAGTGAAATCAGGTACTATGTCCTTTTCATACCTTTCAGGATATCTTTAATCATTTAAAATTCTAAAAATTAAAACAAAAAGATAAACTAGTGGAGAAAGTAGGCAATTCAGGGGCAAAGGGGAAACAGACAAAGAAGGAAAGGGGTGGGGATGAGCACTCAAAAAATAACATGCCTGATAGTTACTTGTATATACTTTATAATATTGAATACGTGTGTCTGTGAAGGGGGAGAAGACAAGTCAATACTGCACGTTTTCATAGAGGAACAGTTCTTCGCACTGTGACATCCTCACAAACTGAAGTTCAATAGAACAAAGTCAGAGTTGATTGTTTTCCTTCCACCCAAATGCTGCTTATCCTATCCCTGATTATAGCCCTGATCTTTCAAGCAAGACCTTTCCCACCGAGTACAGTACAAGAGGGAGCAGTGGTGGCTCAGTGGTAGAAGTCTCTCCTTCCGTGCGGGAGACCCCGGTTTGATTCCCGGCCAGTGCACCTCACGCTCAGCCCCCACCCGTCTGTCAGGGGAGGCTTGCATGTTGCTGTGCTGCCGAATAGGTTTCAGTAGAGCTTCCAGATTAAGATGGACTAGGAAGAAAGGCCTGGTGATCTACGTCTGAAAATCAGCCAATGAAAACCCTACGGACTGGGCAGCATTTCGTTCCACTGTGCATGGGATTGCCAGGAGTCGGGGGCCGGCTCAACGGCAGCTAACAAAACAACCAGTGCGATAGGCTGGGTCCTCTCACCTGCTTACCCTTTACAGCAAAAAATCCCGATCATGTGCACTTGGTTAGTGCTGTGAATGAGGCTTGTGCAGGACAAATTCTACACAGCTGGACAGACTATAGCCACTAGTTATAAAGCCACCCCTGTTCGGCCTAGTGGAGCCCTAGTGGCGCAGTGGTTAAGAGCTCGGTTGCTAACCAAAAGGTCTACAGTTCGAATACTCCTGCTCCTTGGAAATCTGTGGGGCAGTTCTACTCTGTCCTATGGGGTCGCTATGAGTCGGAATCGACTTGATGGCAACGGGTTTGGTTTTTTGGTTTTGCCCGGCCTAAGGATTCCCTGGGGGGTCCCAATTGTTAATGCACTCAGCTTCTTACCAAAAAGTTGAAGGTTCAAGTCCACCCAGAGCCACTTTGGAAGGAAGACCTGGTGATCTACTTCCGAAAAGTCAGCCACTGAAGACCCTATGAGCACAGTTCTGCTCTGACACACGTGGGGTCACCATGAGTTAGAACTGACTCAACAGGAAGTGATGGTGGTAGTGAATCTGCTTCAGGCATATGTGAAGAAATTTCTTGGGAAATTGTTGAAGGATTTCTTAGTCATCTAGTGCTGCTATAACAGAAGTACCACAAGTAGACGGCTTTAACAAAGAGAAGTTTATTCTCTCACAGTCCAGTAGGCTACAAGTCCAAATTTAGGGCATCAGCTCCGGGGGAAGGCTTTCTCTGTCGACTCTGGAGGAAGGTCTGTGTCATCAATCTTCCCTTGGTTGGGGAGCTTCTCTGCGCAGGAACCTCGGGTCCAGAGGACGCGCTCTGCTCCGGGCACTGCTTTCTTGGTGGTGTGAGGTTCCCATGTGTCTCTGCTCACTTCTCTCTTTTGTATCTCAAAAGAGATTGGCTTAAGACACTGTCTAATCTTGTGGACCTCATCAGTATAACTGCCGCGAATCCATCTGATTACATCATAGTGATAGAGTTTACAGCACATAAGAAAATCACATCAAATAACACAATGGTACACAGTCATACCATACTGGGAATCATGACCCAGCCAAATTGATACACACATTTTTGGGGGACATAATTCAATCCATGACAAAGGGTGTATACCAAGTCATGAATGGGAGTGTGCAGGGGTGAGAAACAAGCATTTACTCCTGGAGGGGCAGGAGGAGGGAAGGGCTGTGCTGTAATTCCTGACCTGGGGGTGGTTACATGAGGGTCACTTTGACCTCTTGTTAAATTGTACTTGTAGGTTTAAAGTATTTTTCTCTATGCTATAGTTATAATTAAAAAGAAAACCCAGCAATATAAAATTATAATAATATGTTTAGGATCGTTATAGGGACTTCATGGGCACATGGCAGGAAAACGGGAAATTTTTTTAGAGGGAACCCAAAACAAAACCAAACTCGTTGATGTCGAGTCAGTTCTGACTCACAGCGACCCTACAGGACAGCATAGAACTGCCCCATAGGGTTTTCAAGGAGGAGCTACTTGAGTCAAACTGCTGACCTTCTGGTTAGCAGCTGTAGCTCTTAACCACTGCACCACCAGGGCTCCTTTAGCAGGAAGGTGGGACAAAATACCCACATCTGGAAGTCTGGCCAGGGTGTTGCTGGGACTGGCCAGCAAGCAAAAGTAGTGTGAAGATGCCCCCTTTCCTCCCCCACAGGAGCTCCCCGAAAAACCCGCACCCTAAAGCTGGCAGCAGCTGCATGCTGAAACAAAACCTGTCTCCTTCCACACTGGGGCTGGCCCTTCAGAAATAGCTCACATGCTTCAGCTCCCACCCGCTCACTCTGGGGCCTCCCTGAGGGATGTGGCGAGGGTCTTAGTGACCCCTTCTCCTGCTCCCCAGAGAGCAGGGGCTGCCAGAAACCACCCACCCATCCCCAGGGGGAGGCCACCTCTTTTCTTGCCCCTGCCCAGCTGGAGCCAGACCCACACTGCTCCTCGGCCAGACTGAGTGACCCAGTTCTATAAAGTGGGTTTTCAGTGGACCCTGCCTAATAGGGGTGTTGGGAGATTTCAGCGATACTGTGCATTTTTTCAGTCAATGGATGTTTATCGATGACTTACTAAGCCCCAGAAACCATTGTAGGCACCAGGATGCAGCAGTAAACAGACGTCTCCTCACGGAGCTTACATTCTTGTGGGGGAGGCCGCCAGTAAATAAGGAAATATAACTTAATGTTCGCTGGCCCTAAGGGCCGTGAAGAAGTAGTATAGGGGAGGGGCGGTGGAGATTGACAGGGTGGTCAGGGAAGCTTTGTGTGAGGAGGTGCCACCTGAGAGCAGATGGGAATGAAGAGACAGAGCGAGCCTGTTGGTCTCTTAGGGAAGGGCATTCCATGCAGAGGGAACAGCAGGGCCCGGAGGGGGCACGTGGTCACTTGGGGGGAAGATTCAGGAGAGCAGGTGGCTGAAGCAGAGGGTAAGGACAGGGGTGAGGTCACAGGAGTCAGGCACAGGAAGGACTCAGCAAGGCTGGTCCTCAGTACAGACTCAGTGATTGGGGAGGTGTCATAAGAACCAGTCTGGTCAAGGGCCTCAGGGAAGGTCTCCCCAGGCAGGAAGGGGTGGGCTAGTTGCTGCAAGACGAAGTCTACTCCCCAAAGGGTGACCCCACAGGGTGACACCACAGGGTGACCCCACAGGGTGACACCACAGGGTGACACCACAGGGTGACCCCACAGGGTGACACCACAGGGTGACACCACAGGGTGACACCAGCTTTCCCTCCCCCACTCCACCGAAGGGTTGCCTTCTCCATCCTGGCGCTGAGACTAGACTCTGCTATCCTCCCCACAGCTGCCTCTCGAATGATTGCGAACAGCCTGAACCGTGACTCCCCACCCGGCACTCCCCCCAGGCGGCCAGACACCAGCACCTCCAAGATCTCCGTCACCGTGTCCAACAAGATGGCAACAAAGAGCGCCAAAGCTGCCGGTACAAGGGCCCAGGCGGGTGGCGGGAGAGGCTGGAGGAGAGGGGGTCGGCACAAGGTTCTTGGGGGTCATGCTGCCCACATCACAAGGTGCTTTGAAGGCCAAGGTGGACGTGTTCGGTTTTGAATCATCTCTGGAGCCCCGGTGGTACAGTGGTTAAGCGTTTGGCTGCTAACCAGAAGGTTGGCAGATCAAATCCACCAGCCGCTCCTTGGAAACCCTATGGGGCAGTTCTGCTCTGTCCTATAGGGTTGCTGTGAGTCGGAATCAACTCAACATCAATGGATTTCTTTTTTCTTCTGTGGACTTGGTCAGGTCACTGCCCCTCCCTAGGCCTCTCTTCTCTCATCTATAGACTGGGGGGTGGGGCTACCCTGCCCAAGAGAGTGGTTGGGAGCCCCTGAGATGGTGTACTCAACTCATGTGTACTCAGTGGCCCAGTCTTTTTAAGCAGATGTTGACTGAGCCCCACATTGGTGTCGGACCCTGTGTTTGGTGCCTGGGGTCAAAGGTGAAGAAGCCACCGCCTCCTCTCAGCAGCCAGGAGGGATCCTTTAGAACCTCAGATATAACCATATCTGTAATCTAGTGGTGTCAGACCCCTAACTTGAAGAGGAGGGAAGAGAATCAGGCCACAGCTGATTCCACTCTCCAACTTTTTAAACATTTTTGACACCAGCTATCCCTCTGACCAGCCTTCTCTTCTCTGCTTGGTTTCATAATTTGTTGCAATGGCCGCATAGAACTCACAGACCATATTCAACGGTTACATAGTTTATGAGGGAAGTAACAAGACTACAACTCAGGATCAGAATCAGTCCCAAAGTTGGAAGGAACAGGAACAACTCAAGAGCAGCATACAGTCGTCAATCAGGACAGCTTCCAACCGAAACAGCTCTCAGTTCCTTCCCGATGGTGTCCGCAGGCAGGCTGCGTTTCTTGGCCAGGCTAGCCTTTTCTCAGCCATGCTAGCCTCCTCTTGGCCTCTGTCCTGCTTGGGCAAGTGTTACCGCTCCTTAGCCCTTCCAACAAGTGCCCGGAGGCAGCCCACTCTGCCAGCAGGCCTCCTGCCTGAAGGTGCTCAGGCTTCTTGCTCTGTGGGCCGGCAAGCCCACTGCAGCTATCTCACGCGGGTCTCCTGGTTCCTGCCACTTGTAGTGTTGTGCCATCTCATGCTGTCTCCAAGTGTTACAGCTCTCCATCTCCTGGCTCCACGAGGTTCTCAGTGTCGGGACCCTGGGCCCAAAGGATGTGTCTGCTCCAGGCTCTTCTTCTTGATGGTAGTGAGGTCCTCCTCAACCTCTGTGGGACTGGCTCTTTTATAAGCCTACACCTCTCACCAAGACCATGAACTGACTAATCCCCTTGGTAGGCCACAGCCACCTAATTTGCTTAGTAATCAACCAATCCCCACGAAGGTTTTACACACCTTATTTGCATAGTAAACTGTCCAATCCCTGAAAGGGTTTTATGTACCTTATTTGCATAGTATACTGTTTAATACCTTTGTAAGATCGTGGCCTGGCAAATCATCTTGGCAGAACTACAAACACAGGGCCAGAAAGGCCACATATAAAGAGAAACCCATTGCCCTGCAGTATCACACCCTTGTACGTAACTCTCCAGGGCTTCCCATTGCTGCAGTAATAAAGTCCAAACTCCCCTGCAGAGCCTAACAGCACCCTGCATGGCGTAGACTCTTCTCTCATGTGTCCCCACTTGCTCCTCGGCTCAGCTCCCACTGAGGCTTCTTCCACTGTGGGGCCTTTGTCCCTGCTGCTTCTCGCCTGGAGTGCTCCTCCTCCTTGCTCCTTTCCCTGGTCTCAGCTTGAGAGCTGGGGATGGAAGCCAGCCTTGGGGCTCCCCAGCCCCTCCATGCCCTCACGTGTCTGTGGGACCTATCCCTCAACAACACGCTTATGTTCGTAAGGCACACGCAGAAGCTGAGGCCCAAGAGGCAGCTATGTTTTTCTGATGCCTGGTCCCATGCCCTGCTACCCGCATCGAGCAGTCTCTCCTTCGGCTTGTGCGCCTAGAAGTGACTCATGCCTTCCGGCCTTTTGCATTTGTGCCATGAGCAAGAAGGTTAAGATTAACGTATAAAGCATTAAAAAGATGATGAGCCCGGGAGGGTCTGGCTCTCTTACCCCTTGACACATTTGAAGGGATTCTTTATTTTTTTAATTGAGATAAAATTTTACTTATGCACAATGCACAAATTGTAAGTGTACTGCTTAATTAATTTGGACAAAGTGAACACACCCACGAAACCACTTCCTAGATGGAGCTCTAGAACCTGTCCACCAGCCACAGGTTCCCCGTCTGAGGGCATTCTGGCCGGGTTGGGGGTGAGCCTGCTTGAGGCAAGGACAGAGCCACAGGGAGCCTGGGGGGCTTGCTGCAGCTTCGGGATTCTGAGTGCCTTCTGCGACCTCTTCTTCCCCAGACCTCTGAGCTTCTGGGGATTCAGACTTGGGGTGCAGTGGTTCAGACTCTGGGTGCAGTGGTTGGGACGATGAGGGACTCCAGCCTTGCGAATGCATGGACACCTTTGCCTGGTGTCCAGCCCCTACCTAGGAGAACATTCCATCCCCAAGGGCACTGACCCACTCTGCCTTCCCCCCCAGCAGCCCTGGCCCGCCGGGAGGAGGAGAGCCTGACTGTTCCCACCAAGCGGCGCCGGGTCACCGCAGAGATGGAGGGGAAATACATCATCAACATGCCCAAAGGCACCACTCCCCGGACCCGCAAGATCCTGGAGCAGCAGCAGGCGGCCAAAGGTACTGGCCCGCTTGGGGGCGTGCCTTGGGGCGGAGATTGCACTTCCTTCCTGCCACGTGGCACAGGGTCACTCACAACCTACAGGTGTTGGCTCTAACGGGGGATCTGGGGGACCTTGGGCCTAGGGGGCAGCAATGGGGGCTGTAGGGGAGCGGGATATGACACCTTTGCCTCCTCATCCTGCAGTTAGTGTGGCCGGGCTCCTCGGCGCCTCAGTTGGCACCTGTACCCTGAGGGGCAGGGACAGGAATTCAGTGAGGTTCTGCCTGCAAAGGAAGTGACCCCAGCCTGCCCAGCGCAGGTGCCGCAGGAAGGGGGAACTGTCGTTATGAGCCTGTGGGGCCTGGTTGAGACCCAGACCAAAGCTGGGGTTTGTGACAGGGCCTACGTAGGTGGCCTTCCTAGCAATAGGACTGTTTTAGAGTATTGTGTCTGTTCTGTGGAAAAACAGTCGGATGACAGAGAAACGTACGCAGTACAGGCAGCCATTCCCCTCACTCCCGTATCCCACGCCTGCTGTTAACCCTTGCGGATCAGCGTCTGTGACTGATACCCTGACTGATATCCGTCAGTACCTACGTATATACATGTATAGGTGTTTGTTTCTTTTCAGATGTTCCTATAGGTATTGTTGTGTAATTTTTTTTTATTTATTCAGTACGTCTTAAGCTCTTTTCATGTTAACGCATGTAGATCTACTTCATTCTTTTTTTTTTTTATTGTTGTAAAAATATAGATCCATTCCATTGCCTTCGAGTTGATTCCAACTCATAGCGACCCTATAGGACAGAGTAGAACTGCCCCATAGAGTTTCCAAGGAGCAGTGGTGGATTCAAACTGCCGACCTTTTGGTTAGCAGCCGTAGCTCTTAACCACTGTGCCATCAGGCCTCCAAAACTGTAGATAACACACCAAAAACCCATTGCTATCAAGTCTACTCTGACTGAATTTTACATGTGAAAAATATTGAATTGGTAATTGTGTGTATACATACATTCATACGCACACAGCATTTGCCAATTCAGCATTTTGCATGTGTAAAATTCCCTACTTCATTCTTTTTTAATGGCTGCTTCATATTTCCATAATATTTATGTACCCTAATTTATTAAATATCCTCCTACTATGGGGTACTCCATTTGTTATTTGGGGAGAGGACTCAAACCATCCCTCAGATTCTCACAGGTCCACGACCCAAAAAAGTGAAAGGAGAAGTAGGAGTTAGAAGTCCCTGCATACACACTTGCTGACTTGTACTGGGTATAGGAATTGAACTGTCAGTTTTACTTCCCAGATGTGACATTAGCTAGATGCACGTGGGTCGAGGTCAGTGTCAGCCAGGAGAATAGACACAGAACCTGCCTCAGCATGCTCTCTCCCTGCTTGTACAGGGCTGACTGGGGTCCGGGGCTGGCTATGCCACCACCTCCCTTTGTGTCTCCACTTGGTGCTCGGCCTAGCCCTGGCCCTTGGCTGCCCAGCCGGTGCTGGCTGACCGCCTGCTTCCCTCCCAGGTCTCCACAGGACATCAGTGTTTGACCGCCTCGGTGCCGAGACCAAGGGAGACACGACAACGGGGAGTAAGGTGCGTTGGAGACGGGGAAGGAACTTGGGGTCTGTCTTAGTCATCCAGTGCTGCTGTAACAGAAATACCACAAATGGATGGCTTTAACAAAGAGAAATTTATTCTCTCACAGTCTAGGGACTAGAAGTCCAAATTCAAGGTGCCAGCACCAGGGGAAGGCTTTCTCTCTCTGTTGGTTCTGGGGGGAGGTCCTTGTCATCAGTCTTCCCCTGGTCTAGGAGCTTCTCAGCACAAGGACACCTAGTCCAAAGGATGTGTTCCCCTCCTGGTTCTTCATTCTTAGTGGCATGAGGTCCCCCTATCTCTCTGCTTGCTTCTCTCTCTTATAGCTCAAAAGGGACGGACTTAAACAAACAAAAAAAAACTCAAACCCGTTGTCGATGAGTCGATTCCAACTCATAACGACCCTATAGGACAGAGCAGAACTGCCCCATAGAGTTTCCAAGGAGCAGCTGGTGGATTCGAGCTGCTGACCTTTTGGTTAGCAGATGTGAGTTCTGCCTCATTAACATAACTGCCTCTAATCCTGCCTCATTAACATCATAGAGGTGGGATTTACAACACACAGGAAAATCATATCAGGTGACAAGATGGTGGACAACCACCCGATACTGGGAATCATGGCCTGGCCAAGTCAGCACACGTTTTTGGGGGACACAGCTCAATCCATAACAGGCCCTGTAATTCTTGTCTTCCCAGATTCTCATCATTCCCCTTCCTCTTGCAGCCCAGCTCTCACACCTCCAGGGCTGCCTCTGCTTCACTTCCCATCTTTGTACCAGCCACTTCACATCTGTCTTCTGCCCCGCTCTCTCGCCCACTTCCAGATTCCTGGATGTCTGCCCCTGGATGTCCCCGGGTCCCTCACACCCACTCTGTCCCAAACTGACCTCAGCGTCTTCCCCCAAACCCATTCCTCTCCTGGGCCTCATCTCAGAGGTGCCCCGCCATCTCCATTCCAGTCAGTCCCCAAGTCTGATGACTGTTTGTCTTTACTTCCTCAGCCACCTCCTACTTGAAGCCACCCTTCCCTCTTGCCTGGACACAGCGTGAGCCGCCTGACTGCGCCCTGCCCAGCCACGCTCCCCCTGCATGGCGTGTGATGCCCACGGGGCTCACCACCCTCCCCGCGGAAGCCTCCCAGGGCTCTCCACTGTGCTCAGGTTTAAGTCCACCCTCTTGCATTGGCCTGATGGTCCCGAGGCCCCAGGTGTGATCAGGACACACGCCCTGGAGCCAGTGGCCTAGGCTGGCTGTGAGGTCTTGGCTCCTTATGCCTCAGTTTCCTTATCTGTGCAGTACCCATCTCATAGGGCACACGTGAGAACAAGGTGATGTAAGGCCCGCACAGGGCTGGGCTGTCTGTCATAGTGAGCATCTTTAAATGTCACCTTTGATTTATTGTCACTGAGACCCCAGCCATGTTTCCCCCCCCTCGACCCCTTGTTCACCAGGGTGCAACCACTCTGGCTTCTCACTTCCTAGAATCTTACCATGATAATAACACCCAGGATCATGTGGCTTGAGGATCCAGCCATGTAAAGAGCTTGGCACAGCATGAGTGCTCAGTAAATACAATTATCATTCCTGCCTTTTCTCTGCTAATTCGTCCTTTAGGGCGTAGCTTAAAAGTTGGTGCCTCAGAGAAAGCTTCCCTGAACTCCAAGAGGAGATGAAGCATCCCTGTCACCTGTTCTCCAAGCACTCCGTTCTCCTTCATAGGATGCGTTACTCTTGTCATTATAGAATGATTTGTGTCATTTCTAGTGGCAGGTCTGTCTTCCCCAGTGGACTGGGCACCCCGCAGGGGCAGGGCCCAGGGCTGGCTTGGTCACCATCGTCTCCAGCACAGGGCCGGTGACAGAACTGGCCCTCAGAAAATATTTGCTGATGAACGACCAGATTAATCTTTTCACTCACGTTCACCTCTAGACCTTTGCAGATGATCTTCCCTCTGCTTGGCACACCTTTCTCCTTCTCTTTATTAAACTCTCTTCCATTCAGTGTTCTGATCTCATTTCAGATGTCCCCTCCTCCAGGGAGCCTTCCCTGAACTTCCAACCAGGTCAGGTGTTTCTTCCCCCATCACAGCTTTGACCACTTTCTGGGGTATCACTGGATGGGTATTTCTCCCAACTGTGAGTTCTGGGAGGCCTGGACTGGGCCTGTCTCGGCTATGTCCCCAGCCACGAGGCCAGGCACAAAGGAGGCAGCTTTTTTGGCATGTGTATTGAGTGACTAAGTGACTCACCTTTCCTGTCCCTGACCCCACAGCCCACAGGAGTCTTCAGCCGCCTGGGGGCCACCCCGGAGATGGACGAGGACCTGGCTTGGGACAGTGACAATGACAGCAGCAGCTCTGTCCTGCAGTATGCTGGGGTCCTGAAGAAGCTGGGCCGGGGGCCGGACAAGGCCAGCCCCCAGCCAGCGCTGACGGTCAAAGCCAAGGCCACCAGCTCGGCGGTTACAGCTGGCGCCCCAACACTGCGGCGCCTGGCGCTTCCCCCGCGCCCTGGGCTGGAGAAGAAGCCGGAGTCCCTGTCCAAAGTCAGTATCATCCAGAGACTGGGCAAGGCCGCCCTTGTGCCCGAGGCCCAGGACAGCCAGGTCACGAGCACCAAGAGTAAGTCCTCGGCCGAGGTCAAGGTGACCATTAAGAGGACTCTGGTGGGGCCCCGGGGGAGCAGCTCCAGTGAGGGCCTCGGTGCCCAGATGGACCATGCAGGCACCGTGAGCGTGTTCAAAAGACTGGGCCGCAGGACCTTCTAGCCCCCGTGCGGGGCGGGGCACGGCAGCAGCATGTCCGCTGCTGGCCCCGGCCCCTCTGCAGCTCCTGGCTCCGCAGTCTCCGTGAGGGCTTACTCACTCCTCCCTGCCAGCTCCTGGATGACACTGCTTGTCTCCGTCAGGCATGCACGCGGGGCTGAGCGTCCTGGGAACTCACTCCGGAAGTTTTCCTTAGTCTGGGATGTGGCCGTGGCCTGGCCTTGCCCGTTCTGGGACTTCCCTTCTCTCAGCCCCTCTATTCTCTCCTCTCTAGCTGTGGCCTTGGCGGGACTCACTTCTCTACCTTCCCCAGGGGCCACGTCCCTCTAACCCCCCCACCCCCCTCAGCAGCATCTGCTGCCTCAAACCCCCAGCCCCTCTGCTCCCTGCCCTTCCATGGGTGTCACCTAGAGGGTCTCCTGGACCCCCCGCCCTGCCATCTCTCTCCCCCAACTCCTCGGCACCTTCCTCTGCTGCTTTAATGCCTCCAGCCTCTCCCTGTCTTCACTCTGTTCATTTTCTTCTGTTTTCTGTCCCTGTGGCAAGGCCCGACTGTCCGCCGCATCCTGCCTGGCCCGCCTGAACCTCCGGCCTCCCAGCGGCCCCCTTGTCGTCGGTGGCGTCGAGCCTGTAGAGACTGTTAGCTGCCCTCCACTCCCGGGCTGGCGGGACCTCCCCAACCCTGAGCCACACCCCGGGCACTGCCGTTTCCCTGCCCTGGGCATCTTCTTCTCTGAAAGTCCGTGGTGGGTGACGGGCAGGGGCACCGGGAAGGGAGGCCAGTGCTGGGAGAGAAGAAGACAGCTGTTTTAATATATTTTTGTGACTTTCAAACTGTTTCCCTCCCCTCCTTAAGGGTGAGTTGCAGGACTGCTTTTCACACAAAGCACAGTGGGGAGGGGGTGCTGGCACGGGTTGGGCACTGTCTGAAGGTGCAGCCCCTGTGCTTACTGAATGGTTAGCCCCTCCCTCAACAGGGACAAACTACCAAGGTTCTGTCACCCCACAGCCCGCATCCCCCATGGATGTTACCTTTCCTGCCATTCTGCCTGTTGGCGCCTTTCCACCTCTTGGGCCCTCTGTGGGAGGCAGTGGGTTTCCGTTTATGTGCCTGCTCACTTACTCAGGGCTGTACAGCCCCTCCTCTGTGCCACACCCTGTTTGGTGCCAGGAACCCAGCAGCGAACAAGAAAGGCAGGTCCCTAGCGAGGGAGATGGGCAGTAGAGTGACAGTGGTGCCTGCAGCCGCAGCTAGATGTCAGTGAGGAGCAGTGGTTGGGGCAGAGGGCCCAGGCCAGACCTCCGAGGTCAGCCCCGAGAAGGCAAATGACAGAGGTCAAGCCGACTCCAGAGGCCACCTGTCTGTGCCTGTGCCACAGGAGGGACTCAGGTGCCCCGTCCCTGCCGAGCGGTCATCTTCACCCTTTGTTTTCTGGCGATGTCCTCTGGCTCCACCCACCGATAATCTCAGGCACTGCTGGGCTTAGCTGTAGGAGTTCCAGTTACTAAACTGAAGAGCAGATGCCAATCTCTTGATGAGTAATAACTATGATGATATAAAAACACATGTAGCATGCTTAGCACGTGAGGCTTCCCTGCGGCAGGCGAGTCCTCTCATTGCTCTTTAGGGAGGCACAGCGGGGGAGGAAAGCGCCAAAGGCCTGACTCAGCTGGCAAGTAGCCGGGCTGGGCTTGACCTCAGGGAGTCGACTCTAGGATCCTCTCCTAAGGCCCTCTCCTGTGCTCCCGCAATGGCAGATCGGAAACAGGGCCCTCTTGGAAAGAGTAGGGGGTCCCAGGAGGGTGGTTTGTGGACTCTCGAGTTATTTATGTGTACATATTACCACCACCCCAAATACTTCCTAGTCGTAGGAAGCATTTGCAGCTCTGGGCTGTTGGCGGGCTTTGAGAGTCATACCCATTCCGCCACTGTCTGCCAGGCAGACCTGAGCTGGATGCTTCTTCATCTCCCAGCTGTTCTAGAGCCAGAGTGGTCAACCCATTTGACTTAGCAGTTCCCCTAGACCAACTCCAACAACCATGTGGTATTTGAGTGTTAATACATTCACATGGTTCAAAGTTCAAAAGGCACGTAAGGCTTTACAGTGAAGTCTCTTCCCTTGTCTTCTAGCGCCCTAGTCTCCTCCCCAGGGCCACCAATGTTACCAATTCCTTGTGCAGTCCTTCCAGAGTTGTGTCTGTATGTATGTGTGTATGTGTGTATGTGTGTGTCTTCAGAGTGACATGTAGTATGCACATACAAGGATACACGTCTTAACAGCCTATTTAACCAGTCCCTTTTCGAAGGGAACTCAGGTTGTTTCCAGTCTCTTGCTGTTACAAGCAGTGCTGCAATGAATAACCTTGTTCCCATTTGGGATCCATTCAGAGGTAAATTTGAAGAACTCCAAGTATATCGTTTAAGTGCAAATACTAATACAGTGGATCAATAGCAAATCCGAACCAGGCTTTCCCCCGAGATCATTGGCAATTTCTGGGTGATTTATTTATACAGTTACCACCCCATTCCAAAAAGGAATTCAAAGCAGCTGATTCTTCTAATTGGAGGCCGCTGGAGGAAGCTGGTCAGGGAATGCTAAGAGCTGATATAGACTAGGTGCCCTCGTGGTGCGGTGGTTGAGAGTTTCGACTGCTAACTAGAAAGTCGGCAGTTCGAACCCACCAGCAGCTCATTGGAAACCCTATGGGGCAGCCCTGTAGGGTCGCTATGAGTCAGAATCGACTCAATGGCAATGAGTTTGGCTTTTAACATTGACCACCACCTATGTACCAGGAAGTACTAAACAGCTTTGTTGAATTGATGGGCCTGTTGAATCGTCGGGGCAACACCATGAAAGGCAGGAACTTCCTATTCTCATCCCATAAACAGGTGTGGAAATGGAGGCGCAGAGCAGATCTGAGCCAGGCCAGGCGGATGGTTCTGTTTGGATGGTGGTATTGGCCGAGGTCACCTCAGGTCCTGTCACCTCACCCTGGTACCTGACCAAAGGATACCAGAGAAAATGGGAACACAGTACCTGTGGCAGGCAGCCAGGGTGCTTCTTCCTTCTGTGCCTAAGCCTGGGGCCGCTGAGGTGGTCCAGGAATGGAGCTTTACCCCTGCTTTGGGGATCTGAGCTGACTTGCTTGGTGAGCGCTGCTCCTGTAGACCCGCCTTTGAGGGCCTGATGGGTCAGGAGGGAAGAGATGTTTTCCTGTACCTTATCTGCTTTGTGAGCTCCAAACCAGGGCTTCTCAAACTTCAAACAGTGCTAACGTCTGTCTCTCTCTTTTTTAAATCATAGACTTTATTTTTTTAGGATAGTTTTAGATGTACAGAAAAAGTGAGACGATAGTGCAGAGAGTTCCCATACGCCCTACGCCCAGTTTCATTCATTAGTCACATCTGATAGTATTAGTATGGCAATTTGTCACAATTAACGAACCAACATCGATCGATCAAAACCAGTTGCCATCGAGTTGATACTGACTCATGGCGACCCCATGTGTGTCAGAGTAGAACTGTGCTCCGTAGGGTTTTTAATAGCTGAGTTTTCAGAAGTAGATCACCAGGCCTTCTTCCGGGGTCCCACTGGGTGGACTTGTACTGCCAACATTTCTGGTAGTGGCTGGGTATGTTAACCCTTTGACCACCCAGGGAGTCCATTAACTAAAGTCCATAGTTTCTTCAGATTTTCTTAGTTTTACTAAGGGTCCCACCAAGGATACCATATTACATTTAGTTGTGTCTCCTTGGACTCCTGACTGTGGCAGCTTCTCACACTTTGCTTGTTTGTGATGACCTTGACAGTTTGGAGGAGTACGGATCAGGTGTCTTGTAGGCTGCCCCTCTCTTGGGATTTGTCTTGGTTTTTCTCATGGTTACACCGGGGTTGTGGGTTTTGGGGAGGAAGCCTGCGTAGGTTAAGTGCCATTCTCATCCCATGGTATCAAGGATACTCTCAACACGATTTATGATTGTTGATGTTGACCTTAATCACCTGGCTGAGGTACTGTTTGCAGGTTTCTCCACCGTGAGGTTACCTTCCCTTCCCCCTTTTCATACTGTACTCTTAGGAAGGAAGTCACTATGTGCAGCCCACACTTAAGAACTGGAGGGTTATGTTCTGCCTCCTTGAGGGCAGAGTATCTATATACATTATTTGGACTTCTTCTGCGTGGGAGATTTGTCTCTTCTCCCATTTATTAACTTAATCATTTTCATCAGTATGGGCTTACGGATGTTTACTTTATATTTTGGACTATAAGCCAATACTACTTTATTTATTTTGTTGCTCAACTTGTTCAAGCTTTGGCCATCGGGAGCTCTTTCAGTTGGCTCCTGTGTCCCTTTGACATATCCCATCTGCTGTGCAGTGGGTTTCTTTTACATATGGCCTTTCTGGCCTTGGGTTTATAATTCTGCCAAAAATAATTGGTTGGGCTGCAGCCTCCCCTGTGATTGGTCTGTTTTATGCACCTTGCAGGGATTGGCCAATTTACTATGCAAATACGGTGTGTAAAACCACCCAACAGGATAAAGTGACCTTGCGGGAATTGTTTTTTTTTTTGCCCGTCTGGGAGGGCCATGCCTTGAAACTGATAAGGAGCTTGCTTATTTAAGCAGCCAACTTGACAGGTTTTCAGCGAGAGGCAATGGGAGAGAGAAGGAACCTTCTAAAACAGCTGTAATACCGGCCAAGAGCTGTAATACTGAAGACGGCGCAAGACAGCAGCAGCACTGTGAGTGGCAGGAACCACAGGAGAGAGAGCTGAGCGCCTTCGGGCAGGAGGCTTGCTGGCAGAGAGGGGTGCCTCTGGGCACTTGTCAGCAGTTCTAAAAGAGCTGTAACACTTCCCCAAGAGGGCAGAGGCCTGGGAAGGCCCAGCAGCTGAGAGAAGGGCCTGCCGGTGGGCATGACCAAAAAGAAGCTGAGCACTGTCGTGGTTGGAAGCTGTCTTGATTGACAAAGTTGATCCTGATCCTGAGTCATAGCCTGTTA